CATTATCAGCATCAGCAGCAGCATCAGCATCAGCATCATTTTCAGAAGCCGCACCGTTTTCGTCACATCAGCATCATCATCAAAATCATCAACATCAGCATCCCTGACAGCATCACCATGAGCAGCATCATCATCAGTATTATCATGGTCATAATCATCACCATCGCCATCAGCATCGTCATCATCATCACCATCATCAGCAGCAGCATCATCATCATCATCGTGACCACCATCAGCCGCCTCATCATCATGATAATCAGCATCATCAGCAGCAGCATCATCATCATCGTCAGCAGCATCTGTATCGTCATCATCGTCAGCATCATCATCAGCATCAGAATCAGCATCAGCGTCGCCATCATCATCATCAGCATCATCAGCATGATCATCATCAACATCATCAGCAACATCATCGTCATTCGCATCTGATCCGCGTCTTCATCAACCCTCTCGTCCACCTCGTTCGCAACCTCGTCTTCCGGCCCCCTGCTCCCATCCCTTTCCTCCTCCTCTAAAAATTGTCCGCCTCCTTCCCATTCTCCTCCAATCCTGTTCCATCCCCCCCTCCGCCTTCTCGTGATCATCCTCGTCCTTCTCCTCCAATTCGCATCTTCCTCAACCTCAGTCTGCACCCCTTGTCCTCCTCTTTCCACCTCCTCTTCCTCTTCCTCCTTCACCTCGTGCCATTCCTCCTCCTCCTCCTTCGCGTCCTCCTCTTCCTCCTCCACACATCGTCGTCGTCGTCGTCGTCGTCATCATCATCATCATCATCATCATCATCATCATCATCATCATCATCATCATCATCATCATCATCATCATCTGCATCATCAGCATCATCATCATCATCAGCAGCATCAGCATCATCAACATCATCATCATCATCATCATCATCATCATCATCATCATCATCGTCATCATCATCATCATCAACAACATTATCATTATCATCATCATCATCATCATCATCATCATCACCACCATCAGCATCTCATCATCATCATCATCATCAGGATCACCGTCATCATCATCATCATCATCATCATCATCATCATCATCATCATCATCATCATCATCATTAGCATCATCATCATCATCAGCAGCAGCATCATCAGCATCATCATGATCATCATCATCATCGTCATCATCAACACCACCACAATCACCACCACCACCACCATAATCAGCATCAACACCATCACAATCAACACCACCACCACATCATCCACCATCACCACCCCCACCACACATCATCATCATCATAATCAGCATCAGCCTCATCATCATCAACATCGTCAGCATCATCATCATCACAGCCAGCACCATCATAAGCATCATCATCATCAGCCGCATCATCATCAGCATCAGCATCATCAGCATTTGCATCATCGGCATCATCATCACCAGCATCACCACCGCCAGCACCATCATCATAATCAGCAACAGCAACAGCATCAGCATCAGCATCAGCATCATCATGATCAGCAGCATCATCAATATCGTCGTCATCATCATCATCATAATCAACATCATCATCATCATCATCATCAGCATCATCATCATCAGCAGCATCATCATCTGCCCCCTCCATGTTCCCTCCCCATGCTCCTATTCCCATATCTGTCCTCGCACTCCTCCTCCACCAAATTCTCCCTCCTCCACCAGAATCTCCACCAAAATCCCCCTCCTCCACCAAAATCTCCCTCCTCCACCAAAATCTCCCTCCTCCTCCCGCATCCCTCCTCCTCCACCAAAATCTCCCTCCTGCCCTCATACTCCTCCTATGCCCGCCCCCCATGCTTCCTTAACCTGCTTCCTCCCCATGGTCTCTCGCCATGCTCCTCCTCCTCCTCCTTCTCCTCCTCCTCCTTCTCCTCCCTCCTCCTCCCCCCCCCCTCCTCCTCCTCCTCCTCTCCTCCTCCTCTCCTCCCCTCCCTCCTCCCTCCTCCTTCCTCTCCTCCTCCTCCTCTCCTCTCTCCTCCTCTCTCTCCTCCTCTCTCTCCTCCCTCCCTCCTCATCATCATCATCATCATCCTCATCATCATCCCCTTTCCCTCCCTCCTCCACATCCTGCTCTTCCTCCTCCTCCTCCTCTCCTCCTCCTCCTCATCATCATCATCATCATCATCATCATCATCATCAGCATCATCATCATGATCAGCAGCAGCAGCGGCGTCATCATCATCGTCATCATCATCATCATCGTCATCATCATCATCATCATCATCATCATCATCATCATCATCATCATCATCATCATCATCATCGTCCTCCTCCTCCTCCGCCTCCTCCGCGTCCTCCTCCCACTCCGCGGAGAATGGCTGGTGCATTTCTGTACTTGTCATGGCCTGACGCTCGCTGATACATGTGTCTTTTAGGAGCGGACATGCTTTGGACGTATTCAAATTAGGATGTGCAGAAACAGCTAGCTTGTTTATATACTGGTGGATTCTAGTGTGAAGTCAGATGTGTTATGTTGTCGGGTATGCGAGTGGTTGGATGCTAGCTCTGACCATAGAGCGGTCGAGCTTCGTACTTCCCCCGTGTGCCAGACAGAAGGCATCTACAGAAGTGGAATTCAAGAGGGATGCAAGGCGTTTCAGCTGTGTTCTAGGTACAAAACTGGAGCAAGAATCACCGAGACGTCATCAAAGTATTTCAGAGGGAGCAAGAAAAGGTGCATGGTGAATGCGATTGCGGAGGTTCTTCCAAACAAATCCCCAGATCATGCACCCGGAGGCACCGACCAGAGCTACAGTCACCGATTGTAGAGCGGCGACGCATTCCACGGCGTCCAGACCTGAGGGCCAAAGAAAAAGAACAACGCGGACTTGATATCAGCAACCGACTAAAAAAAGCTGGTGGAGAAAAATGTGAAGGCGAAGCGGGAGACTCAAATCAGCAAGAAATGTGCCAACTTCCGCGGGGTGTGAGGGCTTGCGGCCATTGGGTGTAGCGGCTATCTTTGATGATTCGGTCACAGAGCACGTGGACCGAAGCAGTACTTCTGAAGTTTTCGCAAAACTATACGAGAAACTGTACTCTGGGCGCCCAGGAGCCCTTGGTGACCGCACAGCCGCTACCGAAAATATCCCGCCTTTCGTCATGGGTGAGTTGCACCGGTCGCTGAAAGCCATGAAATGTGTTAGATGCAAGGGTCAGTCACGGGTAGCAGAGATGTTGAAATCATCAGGCGACGTGCCATGCGATTCTCGATTTGTTCAACGACATGTTGAAGTCCTGAGCAGAAGTGCCGGAAACTTGGACGAGAACGCGGCGTGCGCTAATGTTTAAGAGAACTACAGACCGATAGCGGTGCTGCCCTTTTCATAAACTGTTTGCACGTATGCTGCGCGATCGACTGCAACCCGCAATCGTTGCCGCGCAGAGCCTGGACCAGGCCGCGTACCGGAAGAGCTATCCGAATAGACCATGTACTTGCACTCAGGTTGCTTACGGAAGGCTGCCCAGAGTGGAACTAGAAGTTGTGGGTGGCTCTCATGGACTTCGAAAAGGCCTTCGGATCCTGAGGAGCACTCCGCGCTCTAGGAAGTTCTCCTTTCTTTGGGGGTGGGCGCAAACCATGTTTCATTGTTGCAGCGACTGTACCACCGCCAAACTGCAGATATTGCGTCGGGAGAGGAATCAAGACGTTTCGCATTATCTGGCGGAAACAAACAAAAACACCAAATTTCTGCAATATTCCATATTGCCGTAATGGAGGTGTTTCCGCGTGCTGAAGAAAAGATGGCACGGACTGAACCAGCGCAGGAACTCCGCGTCGGACCCGCTAACCAATCTGAGGATTGCTGACGACGTTTTGCTCCTGGCTTGCAGCAGAGCCGATGTCGTGAAGGTGATGCGGGACCTGTCGAAGGAGGCTTTATAAATACGGCTTGATAATGCACTGCGGCAAGACGAGGATCTGGACAAATACTACAGCGCATGTTCCCGCGCCAGTGCAGGTGTGCGGTGAGAACGTCCACATCGTGAAGCGGGAGGAGTCAAAGCGTTACCTGGGACGTCAACTCTTGCTTCATGGCAACTGGAGCTTACCAACCGTTGATCCTCTGCGTGGAGAGCAGTCGAAAAGCTCAAGCACGCTTTATGTTCGCGGTCTTACCCACTGCGGAAACGCGTGCGTCTGCTTGAAAGCGTTGTCAGCCCGGCTGCACTGTATGGGTGCGAATGCTGGAGTTTGGATTCTGCGTTAGTGGACAGACTCAAGGTGGCGCGGAGGAAGATGCTACGTAGCATGTTCTAGACAGCCCGGGGTGCCACAGAGTCGCACGTTGATTACATCATAATTTCCACAAAAGTCGTAGTCCTAATGCAAAAAAGGCAGCATCCAGAGTTGGGTGGATATTCAACGCACTCGCAAAGCAGAGCTGGCTGCCCGAGTCTTCTTGGGTCTGGAGAACAAGTGAAGCAAACGGCTATTGACTTGGAAGCCGTGATTCAGAACGGATGCCAAACGATCCGTCGGCAGGCCGCGTCTGAGGTGGACGGACTCGTTGAACGCGTGAGTCGCCCACGTTGCTTGTCTCACAGATATTGTCCTCATCGCACCTGCACGGTCTGCCCCTTAGGGGACCGATCCTCCTGCTCCTAGTCCTGCTGCTCCTCCTCCTCCCCCTCCTCCTCCCCCTCCTCCTGCTCGTCCTCTTCCTCCTCCTCCTACTCCTCCTCTTCCTCCTCAACCTCCTCCTCCTCATACTGCCCTGGTCGTCGTCTTCGCCGCCGCCGTAATCGCCGTCGCCACCGCTACCTACGCGGCCGTCGCGGCCATCGCCGTCACCGCCGTGGTCGTCGTCGAGGACGTCGCCGGAGGGGGAGGCGGAGCCCGCGCCGCCCGCGCCAGCCGCGCCTGAAGCAGCTCGTGGTCGAACGTGCGCCTCTCGATGTCCTCCGCGCAGGCCGCCTCCTCACCCTGCCAGCCCCTCCTCCTCCTCGTCCACCCCCTAATCCCATGCCCCTCCTCGTCCTCGTCCGGCCCCTCCTCTCCCTCCCCCTCTCCCTCTTTGTTTTCCCCCTCCTCTCCGTCCCCCTCCTCGTCCTGGTCCCCCCCTCCTCTCCCTCCCCCTTCCCCTCCTCTCCCACCCCATCCCTTCCCTCGTCCTCCCGCTCGTCTCGTTCTCCCCCTCATCCTCCTCCTGCTCCTCCTCCTCCCCCATCATTCCCGCTCGCAGGCCCGCCGCCGCCGCTCCGAGGGCGGGCACGACGAAGCGCGTCCGCGCCGCGCCGCTGGAGGCCTCGCAAGGGGCCCCGATGGCAGTTCACGCGGCAGCGTGCTTGGTCGCCCCAGGAGGTCAGCACGCGTCGGCGCGCCTCCTGCGGGGTTCAAGCCCTTCACTGGGGAACAAGCCTCTCGCGGCCCCAGGCCCCCCGTGTAACACAGCGAAAAACCTGCAAGCCGTGACGCGACTGAGGGACCAACCTGCACAGCCTCCTCGCCCTCTGGGTACGCTTCGGCCACCCGCAGGCCGGATCTCCCAGCTGACATCGCAAGAAGGGAGTACGAGGAGGGGAGGAGGTGGTGCAGGATGAGGAGGAGGAGGAGGACGACGACGAGGAGGAGGAGGAGTAAGGGGAGCACCCCACGGGAACTCGCTTGGCCCAACTCCTCCTTATCATCCTCATCATCCACATCGTCATCCTCGTGTGCAGCTACCCGCGAGCACGCGCGCGCGCGAGAGGAAGAGGAGGAGGCAAAGGAGGAGTAGGAGGAGGAGGAGGTGGTGCAGGAGAAGTAGGAGGAGAAGGACGACGAGTAGGTGGTGCAGGAGAGGGGGGAGGAGAAGGAGGAGGAGGAGGAGGAGGAAAAGGAGGAGGACGACGAGGAGGACGAGGAGCAGGATGAGGAGCAGGAGGGCGTGGAGGAGGAGGAGGAAGGAGGAAAAGGAGAAGGAAGAGGAGAAGGAAGAGGAGGGAAGTGGAGGACAATGACGACGACGGCGGCGACGACGACGACGACGACGACGACGACCGCGACCGCGACCGCGACCTCGACCGCGACCGCGACCGCATCCTCGAGGTCGCGCTGCTGGCGGACGCACACCGCCGTCACCACGATGCTGCCCACGTAGGCGGCGTGCAGCGCATCGGTGAGGGGCATCTGGAAGATGGGCAGGGAACAGAAATGGAGCGACGAAAAGAAACTAGCCTTACGCGACATGACATGGCGACCTCACACGGTGGCTTCCGCGGGCCGCCGGCGCGGCGAACCCGAGGTCCGGCGTACTCGAGTCTTACGCTTCCCTGAGTGTAGCTGACGCGCACCATCGGCGCCGTGGTCCTCCGTCGCTCCACCGGCGGCGCGCACAGAGGGTGGTGGCGCGAACGACGCGGCCGCCCAAAAAAGGCTCGGGGGGAGCTTCCGAGCAGGCAGGGGCCCCTTCTGAGAAGGCCCCCGGGTGGGAACGAGCGAGCGAGCGAGCGCGGGAGTCGTGCGCGCTCCGCGGGGGAGCCCGCCCGTGCCCACTGAGGCATCGAGGTACAAGGGGGAGGAGGAGCAGGAGGAGGAGGAGGAGGAGGAGGAGGAGGAGGAGGAGGAAGAGGAGGAGGAGGAGGAGGAGGAGGAGGGGGAGGAGGAGGAGGAGGAGGACCTCCCCTCCTCCCCCTCCTCCCCTCTCCCCCGTCCTGCCTACTGTAGTGGTGGTGGAAAATTCGCCCATCAGGACATGGCGTCGAGGCCGAGGCCTCCAAAAACGTGATACGTAAGCAGACTGATGTGAGAGACACCGCTCCCTGCTCCCTGCCGCCGTTTTCCATCGCAGGTCGTCTGCGCTGTGTTGCCCGCACCGTCTCGAAGGCCCCGGGGGGCTTCTAAGATTAGGTCGGGCATGTCCTCCTGCAGGCGGATTTTCGAAGAGAACTTAAAATAGTCAAAACAAATATTCAAAAATAATTCGAAATATTAAACAAATCGTCCCCAGACTGTTTTTCCCTATCTAGGCTCTGCCTAGAAGGGTTCTTACTCTCTTAGCTTAAAGGGGCCGGGCAGTGCAAAGCGCCCCGGGCGGTCCCCCCAGTCCCCTGGGAGCGGTTCCCCCCAGTCCCCTGGGAGCTTTAGCTTTAGCTTTAGCTTTAGCTTTAGCTTTAGCTTTAGCTTTAGCTTAGCTTTAGCTTAGCTGTAGCTTAGCTGTAGCTTAGCGTTTAGCTTAGCTTTAGCTTAGCGTGTAGTTTAGCTTTAGCTTAGCTGTAGCTTAGCTGTAGCTTAGCTTTAGCTTAGCTTTAGCGTAGCTTCAGCTTAGCTTTAGCTTAGCTTTAGCTTAGCTGTAGCTTAGCTTTAGCTTAGCTTTAGCTCAGCTTTAGCTCAGCGTTAGTTTAGCTTTAGCTTAGATGTGGCTTAGCTTTAGCTTAGCTTTAGCTTAGCTTTAGCTTAGCGTTAGCTTAGCTGTGGCTCTGCTCTAGCTTAGCTTTAGCTTAGCTTTAGCTTAGCTTTAGCTTAGCTTTAGCTTAGCTCTAGCTTAGCTTAGCTTAGCGTTACTGTTACTACTAATGCTTTTTTCCTAGGGGTTCCAACTCCTAGGTAGGGTCGCACTGGGATAATTTTGACTGTCTTCGAATAGTCCTCCTGTTGAGGGACAGGCCCCGCTTGATTCTGAGAAGGTGTCTCGGAAGCCTCCGGGCGCCCCTTCAGGCCCCTGCCCGCTTGGAAGGCCCCCCGCCTTCTCGGGAGGTGCCCACCCCCCACCACCCCCTCGCGCCGCCCCCTTGCGCGCGCCGCCCAGAGAACGCGGAGGGGAGGGGCTTGCCATCGCTCGGACGTCCATGCCCCGTGCCTCGTGCGTTGTTTTTCCCCACATCCAAAGTGGGGTTCTTGTTTTCTCTGCACACCCCCCGCGCAGGATCTCACACCCTCTCTCTCTCTCTCTCTTCCTCTTTCTCGCCATCATCATCATCAGTCATCATCATCATGACCCACGCCTCTCCTCCTCAGCACCATCACACTTACCCATACACCACTCGATCGCTCACTCACTCACTCACTCACTCATCATGATCATCACATGAGGATATCATCCGTTGGCGTCACACATCACTCAGTCAGTCCGTCACTCACTCGAGTATCAAGCGGGAGCGTCGTCTGTGAGTGAATTGCGAGGAAGTCTCAGGCGGGAGCCTCTCCCTATGGGGCCCGCAGATCATCTTACTAATCCGAGGCGGGTCATCGGGATCCTGTAACTGTCGTCACTTTTGGGCTCCTGGGGCGTGAATTTGGAGGAAGTATCAGGCGGGAGCGTCGTCTGTGAGTGAATTGCGAGGAAGTCTCAGGCGGGAGCCTCTCCCTATGGGGCCCGCAGATCATCTTACTAATCCGAGGCGGGTCATCGGGATCCTGTAACTGTCGTCACTTTTGGGCTCCTGGGGCGTGAATCTGGAGGAAGTATCTAGCGGGAGCCTCGTCTGTGAGTGAATTGCGAGGAAGTCTCAGGCGGGAGCCTCCCCCTATGGGGCCCGCAGATCATCTTACGAATCCGAAGCGGGTCATCGGGATCCTGTAACTGTCGTGACTTTTGGGTTCCCGGGGCGTGAATTTGGAGGAAGTATCAGGCGGGAGCGTCGTCTGTGAGTGAATTGCGAGGAAGTCTCAGGCGGGAGCCTCTCCCTATGGGGCCCGCAGATCATCTTACTAATCCGAGGCGGGTCATTGGGATCCTGTAACTGTCGTCACTTTTGGGCTCCTGGGGCGTGAATTTGGAGGAAGTATCAGGCGGGAGCGTCGTCTGTGAGTGAATTGCGAGGAAGTCTCAGGCGGGAGCCTCTCTCTATGGGGCCCGCAGATCATCTTACCAATCCGAACGGAGGTGCCGGTCAGGACGACCTCGCCGAGGCGGGCGAGGGCGTGGAGCACCCGGGCGCGCCTCCCAAGCGTGTCGGAGCACACTTCCAGCCGGTCCCGACGTGGGGCATCGACGGGGAGCAGGACATGGCGGACGTGCTGAACTTCGCGCACCGTAAGCGCCTCACGAGGTTGGCCAAGGAGTTCCTCGCGCTCCCGTGCATGTCCGAGGCGGCCCGCGAGGGCGCGGGTGCGCCCGAGCCGACGGAGGCCGCGACTGCTCCCGCGCCCGCGGCCGGGTACCGACCGCTGGTGACCGCGGCGCGCGAGGAGAGACACGCCTGGGGAAACCTGCACGACGAACGCCTCCAGGACAATCGCGACGAGGAAGATGCAGGCGCTCCGGACGGCGAGGACGCGGGCGCAGGCGGCCTGGGCGGCGACCCCGCTGCGGCCAGTTTTGCCAGCAGCGTGTACTCAACGCCCAGCGCGTACATCGCCGCCCTGGTCGCTGGGTTGCCGGAGAACGAGAGACTCACGCGGGACCAGACGCTCTTCGTCGCCAAGTTCGCCAAGGCCTGCGACGACGCCTGGGAGGACGACGTGCAGAAGAAGCCCTGGAGCGAGAGAAAAGTGACGCACTTGCTCCTGTTGGGCCAGGGCGGCTCGGGGAAGACGCACGTGGTGCAGAAGATCGTCTTCCCAGTGGTGGAGTATTTGCGGCCCTCGTCGGCGCAGGACAAGGGCGCCATGATGGTCGTGGCCTTCTCGAACGCGCAGGCGAAGAACATCTCCACGGAGACGGTGAAGGCCAGAACGCTGCACAACGCCTGTGCCCTGCGAGTCCAGAAGTACATCAACGCGAAGATGAGACCGGGGAGCATGCAGAAGAGATTGCAGTGGTTGTGGGAGCACGTCCGCGTCCTGGTCATCGAGGAGGTGAGCATGGTGGCAGCTGCTCTGTACAACGCTCTGGACCTCCGCGCCTGCCACGGGCGCAGTGACACGCACGACGTGCAGGAGTCCACCTACAAGAGGCCGCACCACCACTTCGGCCGCGTCCCCATCGTGTTGCACCTCGGGGATTTCCTGCAGCTGAAGCCCACCGGCAGCATCGGGCTCCTGACGGACGTGAACGAGCTCCTGGACGACGGGTCGTACAAGTACGCGGAGCCGCCGACGGTGGAGATCCAGCACGCCATCAGGGTATTCTCTCAGATCCCCTGCGTCTTCGAGCTGAAGGGCACGAAGCGCTTCGAGCCGGGGGACCCTCTGATCGCGTTCTGGGGCTGCATGCGCGAGGGCAAGCGCCTCCCACCAGAGGTCTGGTCTGCCTGGGAGAAGACGTTGGCCTCTGACAACCACGGCGTCCTGGACCCTCGGCACCAGCACGAAAACTTTCGGCTCGGCTACGGCATGGGCATCTACTGGGAGACGCTGGCGAGGTGGATCAACACGCGCGCTCGTCGCGACGCGCGGCGCCTCGGCGTCCCCCTCGTTTTCCTGCAGGCCGTAGACGAGTGCGGCACGATTCAAGGCGAACCAGACGCAGGCCGGCGCCTCCTGAACGTCCCGAACATGCACAAGACGGGGGACATCCACGGCGTCTTACCGGCACACGTCGGCATGGAGGTCCGGTTCACGGCCGTGCAGGAGGAGCTGAAGAAGAAGTTGGGGCTCGTGCAGGAGCAACGGGCCACCATCGTGTCCTTCGAGTTTCACGCAGACGACGAGCGGGACTACGAGGAGTGCGCGCCGGGCCAGCTCTTCCGCCCCCGCTTCCTACCGCAGGGAATCTGGCTGCATGTGCACGGCTTCCAGGAGTCCCCGATCTACAAGGAGGTCGCCGAGGTGCTGCTGCAGGGCACCGAGGGCGCTGACGACGACGGCGAGGCCCAGGCGCGGGCGAGGAGCTTGCTCATGTTCAGGCCCAGCGAGCAGGAGTTCACGTGGCAGAGCTCGGGGGCGCACACTGTGCGCCGCTCGGGATTCACGCTGACGCACGCGTCCTACCTGACCTCCACGCTGTCGCAGGGCCAGACGCTGCGCAAGGGCGTCACCATCGACTGCGCCAGGGATGAGGACGCTGGCCGCACGGGCATGTCGGACGATATGTGGTGGCTGCACCTCTACGTCATGTTCTCCCGCGCCACGTGCATGCGGAACATGCTGATCCTGCGGCCGCCCGCGCGAGAGTTCCTGGAGCGCGGGCCGCCGGCGTCACTGCGGAAGGCGCTCCAGGAGTTCGACGAGAGAGCGGTGGACTCCAGGGCTGAAGCGGAGCAGCTCGCGGCAGAGCTGGGCTTCGTGCTGCCGCCCGCCTGAGCGCC